CGGGTCATTCTATGATTCTATGATTGGAAGGACTGATATTTTACAATGTCAAATGATAAGTGGTGTATGAGTGTGTGTGTGTGTGTGTATGTTGCTTATCAGTGATGTCTTTCTGAAAACAATTATGGATTATTAATCAAGTCTGAAATTTTGTAATGGGACAAAATGTAGAACCAAGGCATTGCTTAAATGTGATTACTTGCCTCAAGAACTTTGTGCTCTAGAAACAACCTGCACAGATCAGGTCTGAACGACTTTGAAATGAAGTTTTATATGATCTGTCTCATATTCTACCCCGCATTGCCCCCCCTCCCCCAGCCCTTCCTTTATAAAGGAAGGGAATGGCATGCAGCTTATGCAGCTACATATTTGTAGGCCCAACTTGGTTTAAAACCTGAGGAATTATGAATTTGTCAGACTACATTTCAAACTGCTAATTTGCTACTTGTTGGTTTTATGAATAGATACACAGACGGGAGAGCTTAGTTTCCTCTTCCTGGAACTGATCTGCAGATACTTTTTCTTGAAAAAGGTTGGAAGATGGTGACAAGAAAAGATAGAATTACTCTGTAACTTCGAAAAGCATAATGAGAACAAGAGTATGATATTCAAAAACTTAGGCTAGAGGTCAAGATTTTTAGGTGATTGAGAATAACAAGCTATTAGAGATGAAGTTGCTGTAGATCCTGGTCTAATGGTCTGTATTTACAGTTTATTTCTGAGATCACCAGGTTAATCTCCTGTGTTGTAAAGAATCTATAGAAATAATATTGATGCAGAAATAGTCTGTATTGTAAAGTTTTACTGACTTTCGTACAAAAATTTACTTTTTTTGTTTTTATTCCAGAGACAGAGGAGATTGGTGATGAAGAAGTCTTCTCGTGGCTGAAGTGTGCAAAGGGTCAGTCTCATGAACCAGAGAATCTTATGCCGACACAGATCATTCCTGGTACAGGTAATGCTTGAGACCTGAAAGGAAAAATTTCAGATTTTTTCTCAATTCTGAGCAAGCAAGTGGAAACCATACTAAGATGGCTGTTCTTCTAGCTGTTACCTTTTCTAGCATGGATTTAGAGGAGATTTGTACTTGCTGCAGAGAAAGGGTTGAAGGGGAGGTAACCCAAATAAGATCAAGCTGTGGGTTTGAAGCAAACACTCTTCTGATACTAGCTGTGACTTTGTGACGGGTGCTCAGCAGTTTTTAGTTGTATCAGTAAATTTGGTTAACTTGCAAGAAAGATCTTTTTATTTTCTGTGTTGGGGGACTGTTTACATAACTGGTCCTAAAAATGATAGAATCATAGAAAGGTTTGGGTAGGAAGGGACCTTTGAAGTTCGTCTAGTCCGACCACCCTGCCATGGGCAGGGATGTTTCTCACTAGATCACGTTGCTCAAAGCTCCATCCCACCCAACTTTGAATGCTTCTAGGTCTGGGACATTCACAGCTTCTCTGGGCAGCCTGGGCCACTGCCTCACCCCCCGCACAGGAAAACATTTCTTCCCAATATCTCATCTCCATCTCCCTTCTCGCAGCTTCAAACCGTTGCCCCTTGTCCTGTCACTACCGGCCCTGACAAGAAGTCTCTCTCTGCCTTTCTGATGATCCCCTTT